TAAGATGTCGTCCAGGTGTTACAGGTGAGTTAAATGGAGGGATTTATAATCAGAGATAACAAGCCTCCTTAGAGGAAAGGGGCCAGTTCTACCCGAGATGGTTAACAGAATGAATGCAGTTCCAGCCACAGTCGCACCTGGCTTTCCACGGGACCCGATAAGGCGATTTCAGAGACTCCCTGAGAGCGCGCGGGGAAAGGCCGGAGGCTCTCCTCGTGAGAAAGACCCCGGTGCCAGCGCCCGGATCCATTCCGGGTGGGGTCAGAACTTGAACAGGGAAGGCGAAACCCTCAGCAGAAAATACGAGATGGCGCATTTCTTCATTTTTATGACATAAGAAGGAGAAACCACAAAGTAAAACTAGTAAATCCGAGTCTATTGAAATGAAAAGCGTCTGTTCTTGAAAATAAACCGTAAATGCAGAAATCAGCAATACACATACCTGACAGAAAGGTTAATATTCAAAACATGTAAAGAGCTCTTACAAATCAGTAAGTGAAGAGAAGACAACCGAAAAGAAAATCGGACAAAAGACAAACAGGCGTTTCCCAGAAGAGGGAGGAGCAGTGGTCCATAAACAGGACACAACGTTCACTCTCCTGACCCAGGAAAAATGCACGCTTCCAACTACAAGTTTTAACCAGTCTCACTCCCACCAGATGGGCCGAAGTTGACAGGTAAGGACTTGCCAGGGCTGGTGGGGATGAGGAGCGGTGGGGGCCGCTGGGCCCCCGCCTCAGGGGCCACCCGGACGTTACCTGGCCAAGTCGGACGTGCGGGTGGCCTGCGACCCGGCACTTCCGCTCCCGGGGCTATACCTGGAGGAACTTCTACCCGTGCGTGAGGATGTTCGCAACGGCATTGTTCTTAAAAGCAAAAAAGTTAGAGACAACACAAACACCCATCAACAGTAGGAGGTATAATGCATTGGGTTACATCCATAAAATAGAAAACTTCAACATGGCGGAGGTCGTGACGATGCGTGAACTACAGCTGCACTAACTACATCAACATGGGCGACTCGCAAAGACGTGACGTCAGGTGGAAAAAGCAAGTTAGAGAGGAATGCATATGGTATGATCTCATTCGTGTATAGTTAAAAAAACTAAACATTATTCAGAAATACATACATAGGAAATAAAAACGTGAAGTAAAGCACGAGACCGATCTTGTCTGTGTCTGAATTTTCTGTGGACCTGTAAGAGGCAGGGGAGGGCACAGGACCGGGGAGGGGCAATGGCGCTTTGGAAGGGTCTGTCTCTTATGTTGGGGGGTTGTGAATATGGTTTTTTACTGTCTTTCTCTAAACTCGACCTGAATTTTGTTCTGTATGTAATTTTATGTTATATAAAAATGCACCGGAAATATATTTTTAAAAAACAGTTGACCTAATATAACACATCTTTACAAAAGCTTGCACTAGCATTGGTAGGAAGCTTGTTTAACCTAAGAGAACCTTCCCAGTCTACGGGAAAATCATCCTTGCTGCCGAGGCTCTCTACCTCTCACGACAAGGACGGCAGCTCTCGCGCCCTGTATTGGGCAAGGTTTCGCCTGGACGGCTGTGCCAGAGAAAGGAGGTGACAGACATTTACAAAGTCCCATCTGTGGAGGGTACCCATGTCCACAGAAAAATCCAAGGGAAGAGAAACAGACAAGTCATGAGGCCTAAGAAGAGAGTTGAGCAAAACTTCTCTTTTATTAAACAAAGTGAACCGCACAGCCGCTCACCTGTAATAACTATTTAAAACACGTTAATTGATTTAAAAATCCCTTCAGAATACAAATAACAAGACTCAGAAGAAAACCATACAAACTTGTTGGAGCGCACACACAAGCCTTTGGGGGGTAAGTCTTCCCATGGAGACAGGGGCGCAGCATTGGAATGAGGGTGATTCTCCAGAGACAAGATAAAGTGCAATTCCTTCCAAAGCTCCAACAGCATTTTTGGAGACAAAAAGGCTCCAAAATTCATACAGAACAGAGGTCCGAGAATAAAGAGCGAGCAGGGGAGGCGGGGTCTGCCCAAATCAAGGCCCCTGGGAAGCCCCGACAGTCCACGCAGGCGCAAGGATAGACAGAGACCGGAGGCAGAAGGCGCCCAGAGACTGCGGGTGCCTGTGGGGAGCCCTGGCTCATCACGGAACGGGCGTCACACATCACCGCCGAAAAGACAGAGCAAGCGACAGACTTTGTTGGAAAATCAGACGTCCTTGTGAAGAAAAACAATTTAAATTCTCCCTGGCAATCTACACAAAAATTAACTCTAGATGGATTAAAGACTTAAATGTGAAAAGTGAAACTTTTGAAACTTTCTAAGAAAATACCAGAGGATGGCCTTCTGAGCTGGGGAGGGGTGGGGGAGGCTATCTTAAGACAGAGAAGCACAGATCATAGAGGAAAAGACTGACGTGCGCACTCGACCCCAGATTAAAGCCCCGACGCGAGCACTACGAAGTGAGAGACCCGCCACGGATTGGCAGGGCGTCTCAGCCACAGGAAGGGTCCGTGTCTAGAACCTACAGAAAGAAGTCGTGAATCAGTAAGAAAAAGAAAACAACAGCCGGAAACAGGCAAAGACCAAATAAACCTATGGAAAGGACACTCAGCTTCAAACGCGAGCTAAAACAAGGTGTGATTCCACCTGCATCAGCCCGGCAAAAAGCTCCTTCCAGAAAGCAGGCCAAGATGTATAGAAACATGTGCTTTCTCAGTGTTGGGCAGCAGCGCCAGCTCGGGTGCCCAAGGGAGGGCACCGTGGCCTGGCGGGGTTGCGGGCCGGCACACCCTGCAAGGCAGGCTGCGCCCCGGGCTTGCTCCCCACGGAGACATCAGCGCGTGGACACAGAGGCGTGTTCGAGTGTTCACGGCAGCACCGCGTGTCAGAGAGGAAAACCAGCAAGTGCTCAGGGGGGGGAGGGATGATTCGCTGTAATGTGGTTGTTTTTGGAACATGAAGCATCTGTGAAAATGAAGGAGCTTCATCTATATGCATCGAGAGAGACAAATCTGAAATACAGAATACTGAGTGGTATAGACGACATTTATGTAAATTTCAAAACACAGAAAGCCACACTCCAGATTACTTATGGCCTCACATGTACTCGGCAGAAGTTTTAAAATGTGGGTGGAAAGAATAACCACCAACTTGAGGACAAGGGGGACAAATGAGACTGAGACCTAAAAAGGAATTTAAATTGTATCAGAAATGGTTTTCACGCACACACGTATTTTAAATTATGAAAAGCAGCACAGTTAACAAACATTTCCTGAATTCCTACTCTGTGCAAGGCAGTAGATGCTCAGAATGATATGAATAAAACAGATAAAAGGTCCTGTCTTCTTGAAATTTTCCTTCTGATGGGGGGGGCACAACCAGATACATAAATCTGTAAGTAAATATGAAATATATGCAATAACCTATAAATATAAAAGGTAATGATAGATGATACCTGTCATGAAACCGAGCAGGAAAGGACACTGGAACTCCCGTGCGGGAGGCGGGGCTGCACTTTTAGGCAGGTGATGAGGGAGGGTCACATTCAAGCCAAGTGGGCGGCTGGGTCAGAAAGAGCGACAGGACACAGCAGAGGAAAGTGGCGAGTGAGGCGGGGGGGGGGGGGGACACCAGGGGGGCGCGAAGTGCATCTAGGAAGTGAATGGTCAACAGGGCAAATGTCACCAAGGCAGGTAGGGGACAGGCTGTTAGCCCCGTGGAGGCCCCTGGTGGCCTTGAAAGGAGTTGGTGACTCCTGAACAGTGGAGAGAGGATGGAGGTGACAGGGAGTGTGTGTGGGGGGGGGGGGGGGGGGCACGCTGGGCCCCGGCCCGAGAAGCTGGCCCTGCTGGGAATGAGCTCCCTGGGGAGGAGGGTCTCTGAACGGAGAGTCGACAGCGTGTCACAGGAGCGAGCAGAGACCTGGGCACAGATGCAGGCCGACAGGCAGGCGGCGCTGGTGAGGACCGTGACCATGTTTTGTTCTGTTTCATTTTTCAATTAATGTCTTTTCAATATAGAAATTATTCTAAACAGACAGGAGGTGACGGCCTGTGGGCCACTGCTGGCCACCCTCTGGCTACTGAGTGCATGGACGGAGGAGACATGGCCGAGCCCCCCGAATCCCAGGGCAGAAATGGCGAGAGCGCGGGGGGCTTGCTCCAGCCACGCTCGGCTGCTGCGGAGCTGATGCGTAGGGCCGACGGGTTTAGCTGGGATTGTGGTGTACCAGGTGACTACAGAGGACCAAAATGCTCTGACCGCCAACAACGTGGCCGGTTCTGTACCCCGTCTGCCCTTCGAAAAGTGAAAATCTAATCGCGATGAAACAGCAAACACAGGAGACACATTTCATTCACCACGAATGACACAGTGAGACTCTTTCATAACACAGGTGTTCAGATGCGAGGGAAACCGAGGCATGGGGGACAGACAAGGGGGAGGTGGGTCTCTCTGATCAAGGGACAGACTGTCATTGACCCCACAACCGCGCCAGGGCCTCACTTCAGTCCTGCGGCTTGTCCCCCGCACCCGCCTGTCCTCGCCCTAACTTTCAAAGGTGCCCACTGGTTCCAGGAAAATCTGAGACGGTGATATCCGGTACCCAGACTCAACTTAAATCAATCTGTGGTTCTATGTCACGCAAAATGTGTGGTTAACGTGTGGCTAATGGGGTGAAGGCCTGTGATGACTACTGCACTTCAGTGAGATGCAGCTCTTGGAGGGAGTTACGTGTGAATTACATGTCGTCTTTAATCGACTCCTACTTTCCCTATCAAGGTCCTTCCTCCACGTCCCTGGACTCAGAACCACGGGCTCTGTCTCTCCCAAAAGACTGGGTTTGCTGCCTGATTCCACACTGGGATGCATTCCCCAGGGTGAGCTGAAGAGGGGATGGGTCATAACTACTGAACAAAACTCAGAAGGCCACGCCCTCTCTGGCCTTTGCTTCTCTGTTTCCCTCAGACTGCCTGGCGTGTCCCTGACCCCGCCCGGCCCTCACCTGGACTCGGGTCCACAGGAGCGTCCGGAACCTTGGGGGCCGTGCGGCGCCAGCCACACGGCTCCTTCCCTTGCTCGCCCTGGGAGAGGACCTCAGGCTTGGAGATGGCGTAGTCTGAGGGAAGACACAAGGGTTAGCTTTTGCCGCGTGGTTCCATTCAGAGCTGGGGGCAGGCAATCTGGGAAAGCGAGACTGGCCAAGAAACTACATTTCCTCACTGATATAGAGCCGTGGTCTCTACCACAGGCAGTTCTGTCCCCAGGGAGACATGTTTGGTTGTCCTGGCTGAGGGCTGGACAAGAGGTGCGCCTGGTGGGTGGGGGCCCCACCCCACGGCATCATCTGGCCCAGAGGGGCACGGTGCCGAGGCGAGGAAGCTCTGGTAGGGTCTCCACACCGAGAAGCGGCGTGCCTCCGCAAACTGACATCAACGTCACACCGGCACCCGCTCTCTCCTCACAAAGGACGCCCTGCTGCCTCCAGAGCTGGGGTCACACAGAAGCCCCCCGAGGGAGATAGGCCCGGGAGGAAACAGCCCAGCCCCTCTGAGGGTGTCCCATGGGGAGAGCGGCGGCAGCCCACGTTCTCCGCTGACCCGGGGGGCATTCCAGTCCAGGCCACAAGCTCGGCAAGAGGAGGCCAAGAAGGAAAAGTCCTTCTCAAACGTGGGTGGGTTACATCCTGGATCTGGGCGGCAGGCGCCTTCTCCACTCCACGCCTCAGCAGAACGGAAACAGTCACGCTCCGCCCCTGGGCAAGGGGAGGGGCCACCCCACCTGGGCCTGGCATCCCATGAACTTGACCGGGTGGAAGGGAGCCTTCGACTTGGCCACCCAGCGCTTTAGCAAGAGGAGACAGCCTTTTGCATGGTCCGAGCTTCTAGTGCTTTATATGCCCGTGTGAGAAAACCCGCCAGCAAGGAAACAGAGGCCTGAGGCCTCCCCAAACCACACTGGACAGAGCAATGAGTACTAGGCCTCACCCAGGGAGACCAGCGTCTCGTAGTTGCCCCTCATCACGTGCTTGTACAGCTCCTTCTGCCACTCGTCCAGCTTGCCCCACTCCTGCTCCAAGAAAGAGACAGCGACATCATCAAAGGTCACAGGCACCCGGAGCCACAGGCGTCACGCACGCTCACCTCCACTTACGGGCACAGCCCCTCAGGCCGTCCCACCCCCGGGGACCACCACATACCTTGGGGGCCTCCCCCTTGCTGCCCGGGGGCAGGCGCAGGACCCAGAAGTTCCGGTTCCGCAGCAGGTTCTCCATGTTCTCCAGGCGCCTCTGCAGCAGCCCGTACTCCTGCAGCAGGGTCCCCAGCACGGCCCACTTGCCCTCCAGCTGGTTCCCGAACTCCAAGGTCGTCTTCTCGCAGTCGGCCAGCTTCTTCTCGGCCATCCCCGTCCGGCCTTCTAGGGAGAGCAAGCGGGCGGCCTGCGACTCAATCTTCCTCTCCATCGCTTGGATTGTAGCTGCCATTGTCCAGGGAGAAATCTTCCAGAGACAAAGAGAGAAGACGAGCGCCGATCATTCGCCCAGTTGTGTTCCAGGAGCCCAGCTGCCCTCGGTGTGGATGAGCTGGGCTGGGGACAGGAGCCCGTATGTGAAAGTGGGGACGCCCTGGGCCACACGCCAGGTCTCAGCCTAGCGATCGCCCCTCCTCTGGGGGTCTTACCCATCACCTAAGCCAGTGGCCGCTGTCCCCTCAGGCCTCTGCAGCACCACTTGCAGACCCCAGGGGGCGTTCCCCACCCTAGTTATCTCTGTCCACCTATGCCACCTCTGAGGGCGGCGCGGCCCCCTGCACAGCCCATCCCCGGCCCGCGCGGCAGGCGCCCCGTGCAGTGCTGCTAAACAAACGGTGACTGAGCTCTGCTGGGCATTTTAGTGGAAAAATGGAAAACTGCAGATTTCCTAGAGCCCAGCCAGCATTTCCCATCATATTCACACAGGAACTGTCTACTGATGATGACCTAGCGAAAAATAAACAAACAAAAAATCAAAACAAAGCAAAAAAAAAAAAACCCAGCTGGTTCACTGAAACAGCACAAACAAGAACATTGCTCAACTCCTTTTTTAAAAAGCAGCTCGTGGCTCTTTTTAATAAAGATAAAACTCTAATAGTTCATTCCTCAGCACACAGGACAATCCGACTTTGTCCCCTCCCCAGCTCACCTCCAAACTAAAAATCACCATTATTGCAAATCTCCACCTGCCAAGAGTGAGACTTTTTTGCTGCACCATGAGTCCCCTAGGCCCTCGGAGCTTCTGACTTTCTCTCTCACTGTCCCACTTCTCCTCCCAAGGGAGAACTGTGGTCTCCGACATTCCTGTAGCTGCCCCTGGATCAGTGACACACCTTACGGGCCAGAGGAGAAGGTAAGACAGGTGCCATTAGGTGAGGTTTTGGCATGTGCGGCCACCACCCTGCAGACATGGAGCTTCCCCAGGCAGTGACTTCCCTGTCCCTGCAAAGCTCACGCAGTGCCTTGAATGACAGGCAGTTAGGGACACTAAGGACAGGGGCTGGACCATCTGACTCACCACGACCACATCGGAAGGTCACACCCCCGTGTTGGAGACGGGGTCCCACTACCCACGCCTTTTCCCTGTGTGGCTGAGCATCGACGGTCCCTAAACCAACGTTTAGGTCCCCAACGTTCTGGAAGTGATCCCTAAACAAATGGCTGGTGACTCCGTGCAAAATAAAGAAGTGACCATAGGAACCAGTGTGGATTCACTTAGAGAAAGTCACTGAGCACTAGCACATGGGTAGACACCTCATAAACCAGTGCCAGAAGGAGCGTTTCAGCGGGGGCTGAGGAAAAAATGTCAAGGATGGAGCATCAAAGAATCTGCTTTTTGCAGGGAGGCTGGACCAGCTGATGTCCAGCCTGCAGGAGGAAGGGCTCCGCGTGTGCCTCAGAGGGTGGAGGAGCAGCAGGCAGAGCGCGGTGATGGCTGGGTGGGTGTGGACCGCCTGCTCCCGGAGGCGGAGGCGGGGGGGGGGGGGGGGGACAGTGCTGCGCTGGCGCCTCCTCCCTGTCCCCAGGTCACTCCCTAAGTTTGCTCCAGGAGTCCCCTCACTTCATCACCCAGCTCCCCATCCACCAAAGTCCTACTCATGGGCCTCCAAGGGCACCTGGCCACATTGTGACAATCTCTGCGAAGCGACAAAGGGCTTCTGACTAAACTCCTCCTTTATGAACAATAAGGCACCCAGTGTTCTTGCCCCGGTAAGGGGGCCGCACAACCCCGTGCAGGGCCTTCACACCACCCGGCGGAGGCGCGACCGTGTCTGCTCCGGCCCAGCTCCTTACTAAATGGTGGCTGGACAATACCGGGGTGTCCCCAGACTCCTGCTAGGGAAGCAGGAAACTCTGCCTGAGGAGCCGATGGTAAGAGACCGCCAGGTCCTTCAACAGCTCCTCACCCATGTGATGGAAGTCCAGGCATTCAAACCCCTTCCAACTCTCCCACAGCCTCCTACTAAGGCCATTTTTTTTCTCAGGCGCAAGGACACCTTTTTTCCCTGCCCTGAACCTGCTGGCACCCCCGTGGCTCTCTCCCTGTGCCCGGGACGTCCTCCCCACCTGAAATCCTAGCCTTGCCTGAGAGCCCAGCTCAAATCACAGAGGCACAGGCCCGCAGGGGTGCGCACCGCAGAGGCCGTCCCCTGCCTCCCAAGCAGCTCCCCCCCACCTCGATGCAGGAAGCGCTCGGCCCTGTCGGTTTTGCAGTTGTTGCCTGTGTACCTGCCTGCAGCCCCCAAGGCAGGGTGCTCCTGAGCACAGAGCAGCCGTGTCTTTTCACACACTTTCTAGTTGTGCGATCCTGGCCAAGTTAACTTCTCTAGGCCTCGGGTTTTCCTTTTGTACAACCGGGAGAGCGAGTGCCTCCAGGCTTGCTGCGAGGGCAAAATCGTGCCTAACCGGGCTGGTGCGGTGCCTGTTTCTACACACGGGGGCAGCTGTCTTCCGCCCGGACTCAAGCGAGCTGGGCGCTCGGTACTGGTTGTCTGCGGAATCCAAGCCGCTCCGGACACCACCCAGGTGCCACCAGGCCGCTGGGGGGAGCTGGGGGGTAGGGAACGCAGGGCAGAGCGGTGGGCAGAGAAAGGAGACGCGGGGAGGGTGGGGGTGTCCGCCCAGATGAGGGGCCCAAGGGTGGGGCGGGGGCAGGAAGCGGCGGAGGGCTGCAGGAACTCGGCGCGGGGCGGCCTCTGAGGCGGGGACGGCCGGTTCCGCCCCGCTCGGCCTCAGCCCGGAATGGGGGGCCCGGCCGGCGGGTGACGTAGGCCCCGGCGGACCCCGCGCCCCGCTCGCCGCAGCCCCGGGCCCGGCGGCCCGGCCCGGCCCCCGGAGCCCCTCCCCTGGGCCTGCGGCGCCGAGTGCTGGGCCCGGGCCCCGAGTCCGCGCGTCCGTGCGCGCGCGGGCCGCCCTTACCGGAGCCGCGGCCTCGGCCATGGCCCTGCGCTGTCCGGCCCGGCCCGGAGGAAGTCGCCGCCGCCGCGCGGCCCCACGCAGGCCGGCTCCGGCCTCTCCGCAGGCGCCGCCCGCCCGCTCCGCCTGCCGCCCCGGTCCGCGGCGCGCGCTCCTCGCTGGCCGGCCCGCGCTGCTCGGTCCGCAGACGCGCCGCCGCCGTCAGCGCCCGGCCGGTCCACACTGCATCCTGGGAGCCGGCGCAGGCCCGTGAGGCTTCCTGGAGGCAGCGCGGCCGCACAGCCCCACCTGCAGCCCGAGAGGCGAACGGCAGGCGTCCGCCAGTCCCGCCCCGCCCCGCCGCGCCCCGCCCCGCCCCGCCCTGCGGCCCGCCGACCCCCTGGATCCGGATCCCCGAACCCCCCGGAAACGGCCGGGCGCGCGCTGAGTCACCGCTCGGGGCCCGCGCCCGACCTGTCGCTGGCCGCGTCTCGCGAGCTTCTCGGACTTTGGACCCCGAAAGACTCGGTGACCGAGAAGAATCGCCCCGCTCCGGGGACCAGCCGGGCCGCCCCCGGTGACCGCGGCCGCTCCCCCTACGACCCCCTGGGGACCCGCCCACGTCGCACCTGCCGCTTTAGGTCCTGCCAGGAGATTTGAGCTTCTTACAGTGTCGTTGCTTATTTGGCAGCTGCTGCTCACAAATACCTTTGGTTTAAAATGGAAAAATTTCTCCCAACAATAGAAACGTAGTTCGGTGAACCCCGGTAGACAAGGCAGCCACTCAGAACTCTATACGGTGTTTATTACCTATAAAAATATTTTTAATGGAACGACCGGTGGAGCACAATATCATCACTTAAAATTATTTTGGTGAAGACATTGGTATGAAAAGATGTTCCCGATACTTTGAGACGCCAGTCCGGAATGACCCCATTTTTATATTTTAAAATGAGTATACGTATATAAAATGACAAGTTCGGAAGTATATAGTCGAAGGGGTCTTCTTTAACAGTGAGACCGCAGGCCAGTTTTACACATTTTCTTCAAATTTTAAAATTTTGTAATAACAACAGTAATATTTTATAGTAGTTTGTAATAAGTATTTTTAAACAAGATGGAAAGAAAAAAATAAATCGGAGAAACTCCTAAGGTGAACCGGGGTCGGGGGACGGAAGGAGCCTTTGAAGGGGCCCCCCTGTGGTCGCCAGGATGCACTTCCTTCCCGTTTCCTCTGGGTCGGGCTCCTTCCTGAAGGAGAACCTGCACCACGTGCTCCAGACTTCAGCGGGGCTTGGGGTCTAACGGCGGGATACTAATGTGTCCTTGTTTTCTCTTAGCCTGGGCAGAACCTACAGCAAAGGGGTCACCCCGGCTGCATTCTTTGTGTAGAAAAGTGCCATCTCCCCAGGAGTGGTCGTGGGGGGGGTGTCACTTTACTTAAACTATTTTGGGAGGTCTGCTCCCTGCACGTGTGTGTTTTCCCTCAATGGCACTGGCCCAGCTGTTTTCTGAAGCCCGCGGCTCCCAGGGATTGACAGGGAGGCTGAAGGCGATGTGCTGGAGGGATGAGAGATTAGTCAAGAGCGTACTACTGCATGAGTCCAAGCGTGAGGCGAGACAAGGTCTGACCAAATGTAGCAGGAGTGGGGAGAGAAAGGAAGGGGCAGAGTTGAGGGGACCGTCAAGAACATGCAAGAAGAGGGGGTACCAGATGCAGGTACGCTTCATAGGAAAAAAAAATTCCAGGTTGGTGCTAAGGTAGTCTGCCGGGACTGAGGGTGCACCTTGGACAGAAATAAAGTGATCAGAAAGAAGAGCTGGTTTTCAGGGGTGTGATTTCATAAAAAATTCAACTTTTGATATAAGCCAGGGACATTTGGGGGGGCGGGGATGACCTATCCTCGTGGCTTCTCAGATGGGCTCCATCAGAGTCTCTGGGGAAGCCTGTGAATGATACGAATTTCTGGGTCCTGTCCCAGAACGATGGAATCAAAATAAGGATGGGTCCCGAGTATTGTGGGAAAAACTTTCTTAAAAGGTCTATTTTTATTTTCCGCCATGACTGGTGTGGCTCAGTTGGTTGGGCATCATGGGGCAACGCAAAATGTCACTGGTTCGATTCCCAGTCAGGGCACATGCCTGGACTGTAGCTTCAGTCCCTGGTTAGGCAGTTCATGTGAGGCAACCTATCAATGTTTCCCTCGCACGTTGGTGTTTCTCTCTCTCTCTTCCTCCCCTCCCCTCTCTCTAAAAATAATAAATAAAATATTTAAAAACAAATAAAGAGCACCAGCAGCTTGACTTGGTATCTGAGAAACAATAAAACTATTTTTTTAAAGGTCTATTTTTAACAACCTTCTAGTAGGGACTAGGGTAGGGATGGCGGTGGGGCTCTGATGCGCAGCCAAGTTTGGGAAAGAGTGACTCCCCCAGCCTTCCACCTAAGCCGGGGACCCACCGCAAAGCACCCCTGGTAGCTGGCCTTCCAGCCTCTGCTTGCAAGCAGAACACGTATCACCTCCTCCCCCGGGGCTGCTATTCAAGACCTCCATGAGTCTTTCCGCCATTTCCAATTTGTTGGCCCAGTCTGCGTCGTAAGCAGGCATGAGCATTGCCACTCACGTGCCTTTCCTCGCACCCTTTCCCCTCCTCTTACCCACCTGGAGCCCCATCATTTCCAGACCAGCTCAGGCCCTAACTCCCACTGGGCCTCCCCCTGCGCCCCACCCCCAGCTGCCCCAATCAAGCCTGCAGCCAACTCTGCTTTGGCCAACCTCCTAACTTTTATTTTAATATTGGGACCATTCACTTGGCACTTAAAAAAAAAATGTTACCACAAAGGAGCAGTGCCCTACCTCCCCTCATGGATTATAGGTTTGTTTCTTCAGAACAGGGTTATCCCTTATTTTTCTTCCCTCCCTATGGTGTCTAATACAGAGTAGGTTTACAGAGCATAAAGTAATTACTCAGCACAGATCTTAACTGTGATACGCGGTAAGATGAACTGTCATCCCAAGGATTCATCGCTCTCCTCTGGTCTGTTACCACTGCCACCTGCACCCCCTCACCCTCCTGAGGTGGGTGGTCATGGGGGTCTGTGGCTCACCCAGAGGGGCCTGGGGAGCAGGCTGGTGAGCATGAACCCTGGGGAGCGGGGCGGCCTGGAGCACTTGGTTGGACTGTTCAGATGTAGAGGCTGCTGGTCCAGGAGCCCCCATGGGCACCACCTTGCGCAGCTCCAGCGATAGGCACGAGCCTCCAGTTTTCCAGCTGCTTCCGTGGGCCTGAAGTTCTCCCCTGGGACCAGGCCCACGGCCCAGAGCTTTGGTCCTAGGCTTTTCAAAGAGGCTGCAGTTGCCATTGCGACTCCTTACCAAATATTTCCAGGTGATTTCTTTTGAGGGACATGGCTGGATTATGCTTCCTGGTCTCTTCTGGGTAGGTCTGGCCAATGAGCAGTCACTTAAAAAAGTAACTATTGGTTTTAGAGAGAGAGAGGTACGGGGAGGAAGCAGGGGACAGAGAGAGAGAGAGAGAGAAACATTGATTTGTTGCTCCACCCTTTGATGCGCTCATTGGTTGATTCTTGTATGTGCCCTGACAGGGGATCAAACCCACAACCTTGGCACCTCAGGATGATGCTAACCAACTGAGCTACCCAGCCAGGGCGAGCTGTTATTTCTAAGCTGAGCATTTAACTACAGATTGGGGCCCTCCAAAGATTTCTTTCTCTCTACTGGTGACCAGCAATACTCGAGAAGATGGCTCTTCTATTCCTCTTCATTCTGGAGGAAGGTCACGTTGAGTAGGACCTGCAGCCAACCTCGGATGAGCATGTAGCAAGAGCAGGAAACGAACCTTTGCCATAATCAGCCCCACCACTGGGGGGCTGATTGTTATAGTAGCCAAACCTGGCTGGTACCAAGGCTTGGGGAAAGCTGGCCAGCCAAGGGGCAGGTGTCCTTGGCTCCAGGTGGCATCTATTCAAGCCTGACTACCTCACACAAGCCTTTCTCAACCCAGGGGAAAAAGGCTCCATCTACGGGCTCCCAGAGGATGGCAGCCTGCAGCAAAGCGCTCAAGAGCGCACACTTGGCTCTGGAGTTCCGCCCCAGGGTGGGCGCCGGGTCTCTCAGGGAGACCTCCAGAAGGGACTGGTGCTCAGGCCTGGGGCCAGAGGAGTGGCCTCCTTTCCAGCTCTCCAGAAGCGGGAGGCTCTGCAAGTCTCCAGGACGGGCTGGCGGCGGACCAGCGCCTCACAGACACTCGGGCAGGGAAGAGTGAGTGTGTGTCCCGTGGCTCTGGACACTGTCTGAAATGACCCTCCGCCAGCCCAAGTGGTACTGAATCGTCACCCTATAATGGTCCACGTAGATCTTGTAGTCCCATTGCATCACTTCCATGCTGGTTTCAATTTTAAAAGATTGTTTTGACTTACAAACCACTGAAAATGGTTCGATGCGTCAAGATCCCTCTCTTGCCACCCCCTCCCTCCTGGGGGTTCCACACCTCAGTCCAAGGAACACAGTGATGACATCGTCCTCAGCCAACCTGTGGGAAGCTCTTGATGGGGCTTTAGACAGCCAGGGGCCAGGTGGCCCTGTGGGAACTGAGTGGAGGAAGTTTCCGTGCCCTGGCATCCATGATTACCCTTCAGGCTTTCCAGAACCTTCCACAGCCTCAGTTCTTTTGGTATGCTGATGTCAAAACTTGCCTATGCTGAGAGTGTCAATGACCAACAACAGCTGACCCATCCCTGGGCCCTTGAACCTCCCCGGGGATCAGAGCTTTGAGCTTCGGGAATGGAGGATGGACCCCCAGGGTATTCTGGCCTCCCTCAGCAGAGCAGAAGGCTCTGGCCTGGGCTCCCCGGGGTGGAAGTGAGGTCACCTTGAGCAAGTACAGCTGGGGAGTACAGAATCATAGGGGGGTCTTCCTTTCAGCAAACTCCAAAGGTGGAAATATCCAGACATATGAAACAAGCATCGGAGTTTGTTTTTAGATTTATTTTTTTAAAATTCAGTAAAGTTATTGAATTTGTCCATAACTAAGTTTTCCACAGCTTTTGAAAATAGTGTTTGAGTTACAAAAATTAGATTTCTCACCATGTACATGCAGGAACACTTACTGTGCAGAACATGGCCCGCCCGGCAACACCATTATTAATTAGAATAGAAACAAGCTCATTACTCAGATGCTGACTCGTATTTACAAGTGATTTTGGGTTTTATAAGGC